GGGTGTGGGTGTGGGTGTGGGTGTGGGCGTGGGTGTGGGTGTGGGTGTGGGTGTGGGTGTGGGTGTGGGCGTGGGTGTGGATGTGGGTGTGGGTGTGGGTGTGCGAGGATATGGGTGCGGGTAAAGAGATTATCCACGCCCTCACCCTCCTAGTGAATTTTCTCTATAGTATGCCTACATTGTTAGCAAAGCTATGCTACCGAATTTTGACCTGAAACTTTGTTTGCATAAAGGCCTCAGCTAGACTAGTTTGCATAGCAAACTTCAGAAGTTTTGAACAAAGTCTCTCTAAGATACGAAGCTTTGAAAAAAATGCAAAGTATATATCGGGTTGGTGCAAAAGTCTCCGCCGATTTTTTTCTTTTCAATGTTTCATGATTTTATTGAAACAAAATGTCACTAATCGACAACATATATACCATTATTGTCTATGACATACTCCCATCTTTTAGGCAAATCGAGAATGCCATCTTCAAAGAATTTCTTTGATAAAGACGAAAAGAAACTCTCGAGGTCCGATTGTAGATGTAGTCGATCATCAAAATGCTTTTTCACCAGGTGATTGCGGAGCGACCGGAACAGATGATAATCAGAAGGTGCCAGATGTGGTGAATATGGTGGATGAGGTAAGACCTCCCACCCTAATTCTTGAAGCTTCTGGCGAGTAACTTTTGAGATATGAGGTTTTGCATTATCGTGAAGCAATCGAACTTTTCGTCTTTCTGGACGATTTCCTTGTAGTGCAATTTTCAAATTCTCAAGTTGTTTGCAGTAAAACTTCGAGTCGACCGTGGTATTAGGTTGTAGAAGTTCCCAGTAGATAATACCTTCGAAATCCCACCAGATCGACAGCATAATTTTTTTCGGATGCAGGTCGTTTTTTGGTTCAGGTTCAGGCAAATCTTCAGGATTGACCCATTGACGCTTGCATGTATGGTTGACATACAGGACCCACTTTTCATCACCAGTGACAATCTGTTGAAGAAACTTGTGTCGGTTGCGTTTTGACAACAAAGAATTGCATATGGTGATTCTTTGCTGTATATTGTCGGAGCTTAGTTGATGTGGAACCCATGTTTCAAGTTTACTAACTTTTCCAATTTCATGTAAATGCCGATCGATGGTGGAGTGATCGCATAGAAGCATAGCTGATAATTCACTGGTAGTTAATCGTGGATTGTCTTCGATCAGGACTTTTAATTGTTCAATATCAATTTCCAGAGGACGTCCAGACCTTGGACGATCTTCCAATGACATATCACCTTCCCGAAATCTTTTAAACCAATCTCGACAAGTGCGATCAGCAACAACACCTTCACCAAGTGCAGCACATATTGTGCACAGCAGCACTTGCATTGTTCCCCAGTTGGAACTCATACAAAATGCAATGTCGAATATGAATAGAAATCTCTGACATATTTTAATATGGAATGTAAATAAAATCGGACATTCGTTAATATCACATTATAGTACTACACAGGCGGTATCATATGTGCGAAAACCACGCCTGTATAGTAGCGCTAGATGGCTTTAAAAGACTTGCAAAAAAATCGGCGGAGACTTTTGCACCAACCCGATATATTATTATGAAAAAGGGACTATACATTGATAGTTTCATATCTAGAGAGACTTTGTTCAAAACTTCTGAAATTTGTTATGCAAACTAGTCTAGCTGAGGCCTTTATACAGGCAAAGTTTGATATCAAAATTCGGAAGTATAGCTTTGCTAACAATGTAGGCACACTATAGGAAAAATTCACTAGAAGCTGGGTATCTCCTCAGAATCTAGCAAGGAACCCGAACCTTTTTTTACCATAGGCATAGCTCACTATGGGCTACAAGATGCGCAAAACCCGACTGAAAAGCGCTCCTTCACCTGGGAATGTTCCCTAGTTAGTCAAAAAATAGCCATTTTAATGGTTCCCAAGTGAGCCATTTTTTGGGCATTTTTTGTGAGAGTGTCGCACCATTAAAATGATGTTGATTTTACGGTATTTTAATGCCATTACAACATTTTTATACCTGGCTGGGAAGGCTCTCTGTTTACAGATAACAGTGATTAACGAAGCAGGAAATGAGCTGAGAGTAGTGCTGGGAAAGACGTATTATCAAGGATGTAAGAGAGCGATAAAGACAAACTTTAGACAGGGATACTTGGAAGACTGATATGCATACACTGTACACTGCCTACATTTCTTTCAACAGTAGCAGATCAGATAAAGTGAGTCACATTTTGACAGCGCTGTATGAAGGTAAGTTTCAAGCAATACCTACCAATGATAACCTTGCTTTTACGAGTGGTATCTACAAGTAACGCGACGCAAACGTCGCTAACACTCTACTGAAAGGATGTGATCTCGTTATACATATGGTATTCAAGCAAAGAAATATTAAAATTAATGTAATGGTATGGATCTACGAAAAAGTAAATTGCGCTCGTCATCAAGACTCTTGATAACCATCTGAATTTAATCTAACCATCGTATCTCATCATTTACTGAGTTCTGTTTTGAGAACTATCGCTGAACATGCGCACTTATACACAAGCACTGCTTATTATCTTATCAAAGACAATCATTTTGTAAAAAAGACCGAACCCTTCTATCAAGACTTTGTAAAATGAACTTTAATTGACAGCTCACCTTATGTCACCGTCGTCCGAACGCCGACGATCACTTCCGACCGCTCTACTTCGCGTATGATCCGAGTAATATTTAAAGTGATGCTTCATTTTCTTGTTCAGGACATTTTTAGTTTTGCGCTGAAACGTGTGAAAATGAATTTCATATTCTCATGTTGACTATCAACTCCACATAGTAAAGATAATAAGATGATTAGTAAATGAAAAGCAATTAGGATCGATATTTTATGTGATGTAGTGAGAGTGGAATTCGTAAAAGTGCTATACTAATTCTCACGATCTCTGTTCTCGGAAATGCTTGTCTTATAGTTCACTCGAGTTCTTGAGAAATTTGTTTCATGAGATCTTGATTTGATAATTATTTTATGCATTTTAGCAAGGGGAAAACAGCGGACTTCAAGACTTCAAAAGACTTCAACGGACTCCAGCCGCAGTGACTTCATATTTTCACAAGACTTCAAAAGACTTCAATAGACTTCAACAGACTTCTGAAGACTCCATTGGACTTCAAAAGACTTTATGAGACTTCACAGACTTCTTGAGACTTCACGGGCTTCATGAGACTTCAAAAGACTTCTGAAGACTTCAAAAGACTTCTGAAGACTTCAAAAGACTTCTGAAGACTTCAAAAGACTTCTGAAGACTTCAAAAGACTTCTGAAGACTTCAAAAGACTTCTGAAGACTTCAAAAGACTTCTGAAGACTTCAAAAGACTTCTGAAGACTTCAAAAGACTTCTGAAGACTTCAAAAGACTTCTGAAGACTTCAAAAGACTTCTGAAGACTTCAAAAGACTTCTGAAGACTTCAAAAGACTTCAACAGACTTCTGAAGACTCCATTAGACTTCAAAAGACTTTATGAGACTTCACAGACTTCTTGAGACTTCACAGACTTCATGAGACTTCAAAACACTTTATGAGAATTCATAAGACTTCATTAGACATCATTAGACTTCATAAGACTTCATAAAACTTCACAAGACTTCACAAGATTTCACAAGACTTCGTAAGATTTCAAAAGACTTCACAAGACTTCAAGAGGCAGATTCCATGCGTATCAAAAAAACTTATAGAAATTAAATGAAACCTTTATAACATGCAAAAAAGCTTATGGGTGATACCATGGGATTTCTACCACTTTTTGGAAAAAGTTTTTTTCATATTTTTTTTCCTTCTAGTTAGACCGAAGATCGGCGGAAAACTATATTGGCCGAAAAAAAATGACTATTTACAGTTAGGGATGTGCAGTATCAGTATACTGACCACCGATAAAATCACACTAGCGTTCACCGATACGGTGACGGTATTGACACTGAGCGCACTGTCTGC